TTGCTAACTGCTGTGTTGAACCCGCAAAGACTTCAGAATCTGAACCAATAAGGGAAAAACTTAAAAGTTTTGTCTAATCAACACTTTTCCTATAACAAAAATAGGGGTTCAGTCCCCATATTTTTTGAATTTTCTTTTCTTTCTTCTTTTTCTTCTCATAAATATGTTGATTTTCTAGACTTATAGAAAATTATGGACAATTATTAAGGAAAGATGGTTATGGAACCTAGGGAACTACCTAGGATATGTATTTTTTACTTAAAAAAATCCATCGCCTAGGCGCCTAGGCACCCCCTGTCGCCTAGCCTCACCTTGGCGCCTTGAAAACTATGGTCACGTAGCTTGCCGTGCTACATGATGATGAAAACTATGGTCACGTACCCCCTGTCGCCTAGCCTCACCTAGCCTCACAGGGAGTGTCACCAATCTAGTGCTACATGATGAAAACTTGGAACATGGATCCCATAGCTTGCCGTGTCTATTCATAGGATCAGGACCCCTTATTAAAAATGGTACCATCTGCTCAACTGCCTATGCAAAAATTAGGGGTCCAACTTGGGCAGGGTCAGGTAGAGTATGTATCAAATTTTGAAAGAACCTGGCCCTTTTGAGCTGATTTCTGGTCCAATAAAAGACTCATCAGTTGGTGGGTCTCCTACCATCTCAGTATGGAAACAAGTAGAAAGTCATATGGCCCCAAACCAACCTTTTGTTCCAGGGGTCCGAGACCAAAGCCTCTGCAACAAAAGACACCAAGACACACACTTATATAATAGGCCCTAACAGTGTGCAAACTGGACTCCTGTCTCAAGAATTTAAATCCAATAACAAATTCCCCCTAAATTGGCACACAAAAATTGGATAATCAAAGTGCCACAAGTCCACAAGAATATGGTATATAGAATAACTGGGGAAAACACAAGCCATTTCAAGAGAAGGATAAGCACATTAGCAATTTATCTGAAAAACTAGTGAATGATAAAGAAGTTAGCATTTTATGTGCACACCAAATGATAAAGAAGTTCTTGAGAACTATGGAAGATTTTAAGAAAAGAGTCAAAATATCATTCAACTATTGTTCTATAGTGTTCAAGTAATCATGAGACAGGTGAAATAAATGATGATACATAAATAATTTATATTAAATAAGAAAATTTTAAAAGGAAAAACATCATTTCTCATATATATCCTAGCTTAAGTTTTACAGTTGTAGAGGTATCCAATTTTACTACAAAACCAAAATAAATAATAAAAGGTGAAAAACATGATGAGAAAGCTTCGAAACCTGAAAAATTCACCCATGTCTTAGGTTGGGTTTGGGTTGGCCCTTAACCCAACACATCCCATCCAATTTACAACCCTAGTTGGGATTCACAGTGATTTAAGAAAGAGTAGGCATAGGAGGTGTCTTCAGGAACCATTTAGGAATGGTGGTGGCTATGTATTCAGGGCCTATTGGTATTGGTGAGTCAGTTAGAGCTGAAATAATGGCACTGTTGCAAGGATTGAGGTCAGCAAAACAGCACTTCCAAGAATTGGAAGTAGAAAGGGATTCAAGATTGGTCATATCTTGGACAGGGAAAATTAATTTAGCACCTTGGAGTCGTATGCATGCCTTGTGGGAGATAAGTTACCTATCAAGGGAACTCAATTCCACCTTTAGCTGGGTTACAATAACTGCAAATGGAACTTAATTTAATGAATTTCTTTTGCTGATAAAAAAAAGGAGGAAAGATTAGGGGAAGTGAGAGGTTACAAACATTGACCATTGGAGAGAGTTGAGAAGGATTTTGTTAGAGTATTAAGAATTGAGAGGGTTTTATTGTGATAATTTAAAAATAAATAAATAAACATTTTGTGCTTTCACACCTGCACTCATTTTGCAATTCTAGTTATTCAACATAAAAAAATAAAATGGAATATTAGCAAGGATAATAAAGCTACATTTCCTACCAAAACTTATTGCATTTATAATATGACTAATACCAATGCTAACGTAATATTGTGAAATGAATAGAAAGCACAAAATGGTGCATGAGTATACACGTCCCACGACCATGAGAGAGAAGTATAAACATTCAGAAAGAGTATAAAACAAAAAAAAGCTCTGCTACACCAGGAAAATACATTGGATGACAATGATAAAAGAAGACGGAAAAATTCATCTGAAGATGGAAATCAGAAATGGATTATCAGAAAAAAAGAGTTGGTATCAGTAAAGCAGTGGCTGTTTTATTCAACTCATACATAACGTGATGATTGTGTCATTGCAACACAAAACCTGCTTCACAAGTCACAACTATAATGTTGTCTTAACAAGCAAGTGGGCAACCAAGACATTTATGTACAGATGCATTAAGTCAAAAAATGACCAGAACCAAACAATGAGCTACAAGTATTTGAACAACCTTAAAAGCTGGAGCCTCCATGTCTTCAACCTTTATGCATTCGGTATTTCGATCCTTCATTGGGCCAAAAAGCTGTGCCCTAAAGACAGGTGAACGAGCTGCAAGCACCAACTTGTGAGCAGAAAAAATCTCTCCATCAACTTCAAAATTTACATCGGTTCCCCTTCCACTTTCCAGGAGATGCCCAAAATGCTGTCCAATATTAGAAGATGGGACTGGTATTGAGTAGATCTTGGGTCCCTCTGTGTGTGACCTAACAACACCAACGCTACAATGAACAGAGAGACAATCATCTTTAAGGTAATCTGATGTCTCGAGAGCAGTTCTTTTGAAGAAACGTTTATAGCCCCTGCAGTATCCAACAATCACATCCGTTACCTTATGTCTATCAGCCATATCCAGTTCAGTTCATTAACCTTGCAAACGTTGTGATTTATTAACCTATTAATGATCTTGGGAATGTTACATGATACCGCAGAAACTTAGTAGCATATACATAAGTTTTGCATATTATAACATCTTGTTATCTTCCTTCAAAACAAAAGTTTAGCATATTATCCTGGATCATTTCATGAAAACGCATCATAGAGAAGAATCCTCCATAGTCAATCATAGCAAAAAGGGGGGAAATTCTGAGGCCCATAATGCAATATCAAGGATTTATGGCCTAACAGAAGTATAGCTAAATATTCCTACCATATGATAGTACAAGGAAATTAAGTTTCCAAATAGAACTCAGCTAATGCAGTATCGAGGTGTCTAAGTTGTGGTCCATTTTTTAGTCACGTAATTCTTTAGAAAACTAAACTCCTCTTGTTGTCAGTTGTCGCGTTATCCTAGGAACTTAAAGTTCTACAACTGGCAGGGTGTTGGTTCTCTGCATTTTGGTTTTGCAGCCTGCTTCTTCCAAGTAAACTTGGGACCGGTAAGCCCGTGATTGTAAATTGATTCATCTAGCCATGGAACATGAAGGCGACCAACTTTCAGTCAGAGGACAATGCGTCTTAGTTATCCTTGCATACAGGTTATAAGTCCTGACTGATCAAACAAAACTTAAGAAGGATTATGTGCTGAAAAACCAAAAGTTAATCAAGAAGATAGTCGGGCAAATACAAAGAAAAGAAAATGAATATCAAGAAAATCAGAAGCAAATAACCTTATCTAATCAATTCTTTGAGGAAATTTAGGGAAGTTGGGCGTTGAGGCAAGAGGGAATCTACAAATATTCGACCAAAAAATTCAAAGGGGAGAGCCAATGTAATTGCAAAAAAAAAAACAAAAACAAAAAAAAAACTCCAAGGAAAGAAAAGAAAACATTCAAACGACAATGACAATCAATTGCATTGAACCCTAAAAGGATAAAATTACGCCCAAAAGGAAAACGGGAAAGCCCCCAAATTACCACATGCTTCCTCGGTATTTAAGAGTGTACGGCCCGCTCTCCAACGTCCTCCCAAAATGGCTGTGCACCTTATGTTTCTCCTTGCCGCTTTGATCCAAAAGCGTCAATTCGAAAAGGGCCCTGACATCAGTTCCCTCGCTTGCAAGCGCGATAAACAATGAAACATAGGCCGCGTTATCCTCGATGCTCTTCCCATCGGGATAGAAGTAGATCGCCCACGCATACCCACCAACCCAGAAGATGTCAGACGCAATGTATTTGCCAATCCCTAGACCTTTTGAGAGAGAGTATCCCGTGATCTTGAATTGGTGAGAGCCATTTACGGTCTGTGTGACAGAGGTGGAGATGGTGACCGAAGGAGAGGGGGAGGAAGAAGAAGAGGGTTTGGAGGTTTCACTGCAAACCCTGCCCATGCCCATCCACAACAGAGATGGAGTACGTCAGGTTGAAGACGGAATTGGTTTTCCTTCAAACGAATTGGGCTCTTAGGGTTTTCTATTCCCCCCAAGATTCTAAATTGGGGGTTACGATCCACAATTTGCTAGGCTTATCGGCAGGAATTAAGCCAATTGGACTCTGAATTAGGGTTCCTAAATTCCTTCCTATCGGGATTCCAGGGATTGGCGACGATTTCTTCTGCAAGATCCAAAATAGGTTTCTAGGGTTCCGTTTCTTCTAAGCCCTTTTCAAACATAGATAGAGAGAAAGACAGAAAGAAAGAGAGAGACAGAGACAGTCAGAGAGGGAGAGAGAGCGCTGGTGAAGGGAATTAAACGGGAGGTTTGGTTAGAATTTATAGAAAGATTTAAATGCACGAGAGAGAGAGAGAGAGAGAGAGAGAGGGTTTATTTAAAATAAAAATCAAAACAAAAAAAAAGGGAAAAAGAAAAAGGAAAGAAATGTGAGTGAAAATAAAGAGAGTGTGTGTATGGTGCGTGTCCGACGCAGAGAGAAACATAAGAAACTAGAACTTTCTATGATGGAGAGAGAGAGATGACGGCTTTTGCTCTTTTTCAGTTTCCCGCACGAGAGTCGGTTTACTTTTCAGAAAACCGCCTTATCTTATCATCTATACGTTTTGGATTTCCATTCAGTACTTCTGTTCTGTCTTCTGTCTTCTGACTTCTGAGTTCTGACTCTATTCAACATAGCAGTATGGATAATAGATTTTAGGAGGCTGCCCATGTGAGAAAAAGAAACTCCGCGTGCTACCTTGCCACGTGGCTATATGATTAGCATTGAAAAAAATTAAAAAGCTGTTCGCTTTGTGACATAGGGAATTCGACCATGACAAAGTTTGTAACCAATGGTAGCAAAAGCCCTTTTTATCATGTATTTTGGATGGCATGCATTTTTGGGAGAATAACATTTCAGCCAGGATCAGAATTTTTAGGCTCAAAGTAGAGAAGGGGTAGATGTCGACTTTGAATTGATGCTAATTTATGATGTATAAAATTGGGGTTTTTGACATTTTGAATGTTTATAGCTCTTTGGTAGAAATCAGAAATATGTATTGTGCCTGTCCATACTTCTCCATAAATTTTTTTAGTTGAAAGGTTTAGAAAGACTAAGGGTAGATAAAAAACAACCAATGAACCTCATATGCTTATTGTTCTATCTCCACCATTTAATACCATGTAATATGTAATTTATAACATATCATCATCATCTATGTCATATCCAAGGAGGATAGCTACACGAATCATATTTTGTTAATCCATTTTATTTAAAGTCATATTGGCTGTTAAATTAATAATGCTTAAATCATTTCTAACCAGTTTCACTCATGTCATTTTTGGTCTATCCATAGCACTTTTAGCTCTTTCCACGTGTAACAAATCACTTTTTTAATTGGAGTTATTGATGGTCCTTTATGCATGTTACCAAACCGTTTTAGTTTATACTCATTTTATAACCTATTGGAGTTATTCCTAAATTTCTATGAATAATTTAATTCTTAATCTCATTTTTTCTAATTTTTCCATTCATCCATCTTAGCATTTTCATTCTTTTTTCTATAGGCTAAGTTTGAAAGGAGTGCAAATGCAAATATGTAGAGTGCAAAACCTTATATTTTGTATTGTTTACACTCTTTCCAAACTGAGCCATACTTATTTTTCTAAACACGTTTTTTTTTATCATCCAACACTCTACTCCACACATAACTAGCCTTACAACTATTTTATATAACCTTCCTTTAATTAATTTAATAGTATTCTCCTATCACATTGAGTTATTGAACCAAGATGCCGAACATAATCACATTGAGTTATCTCTTAACCTTCAATTCCAAGTGCATCCTGATTTATACTCTTATTATTATTTAATGGGCAAATTTCTTAAACTATTCCTAAGGCTTAGGAAATTGATCAACTCTATCCTTACTATTTTAATATTGTATTAAAGTACCCCTACTGTTTTTGGCAATCGACTAAATTCTCTTTATCATTAATGTCCCTTAACGAAAAAATAAAAAAGATTGTTTTATGTAGCCAATTTTGAATATCCCTACTATTTGAGTATTGTATTAAAGCACCCCTAAACACTCTAACATTGATTGTTGCTCCCTCATATATATTCTTAACACATAATAATAAAAAAAAAAAGAAACAAAATAATAAACTAGTAGCCAATTCCACATGTGGAATGTCGAAAATCAAAATTAGGCTTAGATGATGATGGTCAAAGGCCTAGGTATATTTGGACGTGAGTCCAACCTGTAGGTCATTGGGGCAGTTGGGTTCACCTACTAATTCGTCATCCACTCATGAGTAAATGTTTACATCACACTGTTATTTTTCATCACTTATCATTCTTCATTAAGTCTTAATTTTGGGCCAAGGAAAATAAACAATTTCTCTGAAAATGATATTCAATAAAAAAAATAAAATATACCCCTAAGTTATACAAATATTGCAATACGATTCAAGGGGACCAATATTTGTTCAGAAAATGATTTATCAAAAAATAGATATCAATTTTTAGTATATATATATATATATATATATTCCATTAAATATTAATTTTTAAGTCATTTTAAGTATAACCAAATATCATAAATTAACATTTTTTTGAAAAATCAAAATCACTTATTTGTCTTCATCTCAAATACAACCAAACCAATTTTGCAAAATTCAGGCCGGCCAGAAAACCGAAATGCTCAGTCTAGTTAAAAGCTTAAAATAGATAGTCCCAAATAACGAGAATTGGAGCTAGAAAACAGAACACAAGGCCAAACAAATGGCAAAGACAACCGGATTCAGTTCTCACACAATCGTCCTCACACTGTGTTCACAATTACTTGCAGCTATGTATTGGAAATATCTTCCTATAACTAAAAATATACAAATACAGAGATATTTTCAATGCATGGTTGCAAAAAGGCTGTGAAAACAATGTTACAACAGTTTTTGTGAGAACTGAGTCCAGTCTCCCCAAAGAGGATCTATTATATATTTTGATAGTTCGAATTGGTCAACTCCAGATCTCCTATCCATGTCTACCCACAAAACACCACCTCTTTGTATCGAAAACATTTTCTGTGCATAATAACATATAAGCGAATGAGATATTCTCCATATGTGGCCGCGATGTTTCATGTGTGCTTCGTGGGTAGTAAATCTGGACTCCAATTGGACGTGCATTTGGAAATAACGCCAAAAATTAATAGCTAGTGACACAAGAGGGTTCAACGTGTTCCCCTCTCCACCTCTTGTTTATGGGTCAACAGTGGACGCGTGGCTAATTGAGAGGATCCCCGTAGAATGGAGGAACGAAGTTAATTGGGTAGCAATAACAACGTTATCTCTACGTCTCTACATGCAACGGAAACAATGAAGGTCCCATGAGGAATATATTGTACATGACCGAGTTAAAGACTTCAGAATATATAGTAGATCTTTCATATTTCATATTTTGCTTGTCAACATCAAGGGGATGAACGAGATTTTGGTTACAAAGAACCTAATCTGATAGTGCGGAAATGGAATTGAAATTTTTTTGGAGTCCCATTATCGAAATTTTATTCCAACAAACACGTTAAATCAAATTTCAATCAAAACACGTTAAAGATATAACATGGTTTATTGACTTTTCATTAATTCATGTCAGGCAAAGTGTGATTTAACATCTTATAATGCGCATTTATCATTAAAAACTTTAATAACATTAAAGATGTCACTATAATATATATATATATGTATGTATGTATGTATGTATGTATGTATGTATGTATGTATGTATGTATGTATGTATGTATGTATGTATGTATACTATTTTGAGTGAATGAAATTCAAAATGGTGTCCATACCCAATTTAAGTAGAGCAAGTTGAGATCTGAATCTAATAAGAGTTTCTCATTCATTGTAGAAGAGACTTGGATAAAATCCCACTACCAATGGTGGATCTATGTTGAAGTCAATGTGGGCAATTGTCCCTACTGAAATTGTCCATTTATCTTTGTGGTTAGTGGAGAACAGCCATCGGACCGGATTTGTCGTAAAATTGAGATTATTTCGTTTCCTTCCTTATCAGAGAGGGGCCCCTTAGGGAGCGGGGCTTATTGAAAAAGGGCGCACTCACTCTAACGGTGTACCTTCGGGAAGCCCGCCAAAGCTGGATTTCGTGTAGGGCCTTGTTTGTCGGTCGAAGAAGGCCACAAGTGGAAGTAACCGATGGATATATTTAATTTTTTTTTACAATTACCCTCACTCAAATAAAATTTGATTTCTTAAATGGGTCTTCTTTGGAGGCGAATAGATAAGAAATAAAGAAAAATATACAAGAATGACACTCATGTCCTTGTCACATGTAGACCAAAGTTATAAGGTTGGGGACTTAGGGTTTTAACTTGTACGTTTTTATGTTTTTCTTTTCTTCCTTTTGTTTTTTTCCTCATTTCACATCCCTCAACAGATCAATTTTATCTAACTACCTTGCCTCCTCAAACCTAGAGATGACAATTTTCCCACCCTTGTTAGGTACCCAACCTCCTCAACCTAATAGGGTCGGGGATGGTGATTGTCTTGGTGGCAATAGATGTTAATAGGGATACCCAGTAGAGGATAGGGACGGGGATGGGGAGTGAAGTCCTTGCCTTACCCCAACCCCAAAAACACTTCAATTAAGAAAGTAGGGGATTTGGGTCCCCATTGAGGAATCCATCTCCATCAAGGATCAGGGATGAAGGTTAACCTTTCTCCCCAATGTGGATTGGGATTAAGGTTCGGGGTGAGGAGTATGGTCCCCACTTCAAATCCACCCTGTTATGATTAAATTAATGTGATCAAAGGTCCTATGTCCACCACTTCCCGTTGCCACTATGGCTGGGGATGGGCTACCCCATTGTTAGCCCTATGATACGAAGCCAAGAAAAGAAAAACAATTTTTCATTTAGATTTGATCCAAATCAATTGGATCCACTCTAAAATCTGACATATCCATTTTCCTACCTCTCAACACATTTTGGATCTCCTACCCACAACCTACTCACGAGATACTACTTAGTGTATGGGGAACATCTCCCCATGTAACAGAGGAAATATTCCCAATGCAGACCTGTAGTATATTATGGGTAGGGGTGTTGGAAGAGTTCGTTCCTAAGAGATCGGATCTGCTCTTCACACATGGTGTCTCACACCGACCTCACATATACATCCCACCATGCATTGGGAACATCTCATGTACTTGTGTGCTATTATTTAAGGAAGATGTTCCCAATGCATGGTAGAATGTGCCTAAAATCATTGTGAGGCACCCTATGTGAGGAGATCCCACCTCCGTCCCTAGGAGATCCAAGCTCTTTTCAACAGTCTATCACATGAATCAAAATCAACATTTAAACAA